CAGAAAATTTTCTAGCTTTGGCAGTGCATCATTTTCTTGCATCATAGCAAGGATCTTGTTATATAAAGCAATGCAGCATTTAAATCATAGCATTGCAGCATTTTTATCAGAATTTACAAGATTTACTGCATGCATTGCAGCCTTTACAGCGTAGCATTGCAGCCTTTACAGCGTAGCATTGCAGCCTTTACAGCGTAGCATTGCAGCATTTACAGCGTAGCATTGCAGCCTTTACAGCGTAGCATTGCAGCATTTACAGCGTATCGTTGTAGTATTTGCAGCGTAGCATTGTAGCATTTACAGTAGCACAGTTCATTACACGACACTCGCCATCTCCGCCTCGCCCTCCCGTCGGGCCGCTACTTCATGGAAGCGTCAGTAACATAAGTTACCTGTTCTCGCATTGTAATTATTAGCGATGCTTCTGAATTATTGCTGCCTAATTGACGTGTTAATACATGGCGAAGAAATAGTATTTATCCACGACACGAATTTATTTGGCATTCCCTCACTTCGAGAGTTTGGTATTCCTCCCCATGAGATTTTGGTACTCCTCTCTTCCGACCGATCGGTATGTGATATTCCCTTAAAATTTTTCCTAAGTAACATTTATTTTCCAATGAAGTCGTCTTCCACTTAACTGTAGGTGGAATTATCTTCTACTTAGTGAAGCAATCCTCCCTCCCCTCCATGGAGTATGGGTGGAAGTATCCTTAGAGGAATTTTCCACCAATAATCCACCATTATCCACCCATAATCTACCATAATCCACCCATAATCCACCCATAATCCACCCATAATCCACCCCGTGCGCAGTCCTTCTACCAGTCCGCCCTCGCCAAGGCTGCAGCAGCCGCTCCATCAGCAGCGGCGACATTAATGCAGGACCACGTGCGGGGCCTTCGTCCGCTGCCTCTCATACCGCCGACCTTCTCAGCCTTCACTAACAACCTCATTTTTAAAAGCTCTTCATTTACCTCGCACAGGAATTTGAAATTTCGCAATGAACAATCTGAATCTTATTTGATGGATGGAAAGTTCAAATTAATCAACTTGAAATAAGATATCCACTTATTGAAAACAAAATTCAAGTGTTCGTTAGAGTTTCTGATGCTCCATTCATAACACTCTAATTTCTCGCTTGAGGATCATGAAGGGTACTGGCCGGCAAGCCCCCTGCTCCTATTTATAGCTCTTTAGTTTATTTCTTCGATTAATGCACCTAAAACATACTGGCCTGCGTGCCTCTTGCTCCTATTAATAGCCCTTTAATTTATTTCTTCGATTAATGCGCCTTCAAGGTACTGACCAGCGTGTCTCCTGTTGCTGTTTCTAGAAAATTTTTATTGCCTCAAAGTTTTTGGCACCGCGAAGCATGCGTGCCACACTTGTTCATGGCACTCATGGTAATTTGAGTTTCATTGCTATTTATAAGGAGTAGTGGGAAGTGAAGCCATCGAGTTAGGTAGGTAGATGTATGGAGTTACTGGCAGGTAGATGTATAGAGGTACTGGTAGCTAGGGTATGGAGTTACTGGTAGGTAGATGTATGGAGTTACTGGTAGGTAGAGGTATGGAGTTACGGGTGGGTGGAGGTATGGAGGTACTGGTAGGTTGGGGTATGGAGTTGCTGGTAGGTAGAGGTATGGAGTTACCGGTAGGTAGAGGTATGGAGTTAATGTTACGTGGAGGTATGGAGTCACTGGTAGGTAGAGGTATGGAGTTACGGGTAGGTGGAGGTATGGAGTTAATGTTACGTGGAGGTATGGAGTCACTGGTAGGTCAGGTAGGTGGAGGTATGGAGTTACTGGTAGGTAGAGGTATGGAGTCACTGGTAGGTGGAGGTATGGAGTTACAGGTAGGTGGAGGTAAGGAGTTACCGGTAGGTAGAGGTATGGAGTTAAGGTTACGTGGAGGTATGGAGTTGCTGTTAGGTGGAGGTATGGAGTTACTGGTAGGTAGAGGTATGGAGTTACTGGTAGGTAGAGGTATGGAGTCACTGGTAGGTAGAGGTATGGAGTTGCGGGTAGGTGGAGTATGGAGGTACTGGTAGGTAGAGGTGTGGAGTTGCTGGTAGGTGGAGGTTTGGAGGACAGCCATAACAGATTGCGAGTGTCGAGCACTTAAGAATTAAGCTAGCACAATTTTGCTCCGAGTTAACTGTTAATGTCTGAAGCTTGTGTTTTTTGCTAGTAATCATAATTTTCAAAATTGCACAAACAAACGAAGGCGCATCACGTAGGAACTTGTGGACCCAAGCTGTGAGCTGACAGCAGGGAATCAGGATGTTGCGTCTGCCACTCAAGCCCACGTTTTAAAAAAAATCGTCCTAACTCAGCGTCTGCGAAGGTCGCAAATCCAGTGATGGCATTAAGGAGTTAAAGCTCCCTAATGAGGTGCTATAGGCATCCTAATGAGGTGCTATGGGCCTCCCAATGAGACGTTGTAGGCCTCCTAATGAAGCGTTGTAGGCCTCCTGAGGCCCAGGTCTGGTACACATGTCCTCGATTGAGGGCCTGCAGTGTGAAGCAGCCGAGGCCATCGGGCTTCTGAACATTCAAATTTCATTCGCACCTCTTTAAAGATAAAGCGTTTGACAATGATATTACAGCAATTAGGTGGTTACATTACAGCAATTCGACAGTTGCATTACAGCATTACAGCAATGCGACAGTTTCTTTACAGCATTACTGCAATACATCAGTGATATCACATCATTACAGCAGTAAAAAAATTGCATCGTTACAGCAGTGCAACACCATTATAACGGCATTACAGCAAAGAAACGGTGATGGCACAGCATTACTGCATAATCCTTCTTATTAATATTGCTCTCGTACTAAAACAGTGATATCACAGCAGTACAGCATAATTTTATTTGGTTCTATTCATCTGGTACAATCATAGTGAAGTCACAGCTTTAGATAATAATCCTATTTGTAATATCGTAATCATGCTCAGTATTTCCGACATCGAAATTTGCAATACTCAGAATTATTGCTCCTTGCAATACTTTTGTGAAAAGTAAAAAAAAATTAAAAGAAAGCCCCTGGCAAAAGCTACATTTTACCAGCATTATAAAATAATAATGCACTAATTATACAACCAACGGCAAAAACTACACCTATTCCAGAGCATTTTAGCATAATACTGCCCTACTAGTACAAGATTACAGCAAAATATTACACTAAATATGCAGTAATATAGCACGACATTCCATCAACTTTATAGCATTACTGCATAATACTATATTGCATAATATGAAACCATATATTACATTGTATATCTCCTAGATGTGACTTATGGGTCGGGGTGGGGTAATGTTTTTTTGCGACACAACGAATACGCTCTACATACCTACCAGATATCTGACGTTGGATCGAGTTTTAATACATCGTTGTTATATTGAATAAACATTATTTGAACGTTGTTTCAACGTCAGGAGTCTGGTGTTGATGGTATAGGCTCGAGCGACAGCGGGCTATCATCATATAATCGATCGTGGCAGATGTGATGATATGACGACATTTGATATAATCATGTCATCACTCGGGGCAGATGAGAGGCGGCGATCCATCGTGGCCTGGGACTGCTATGTCACAAACAAATATTAAGGATATTAAGGATAGATGTGATGATATGATGTCATTTGACATTATCATGTCATCACTCAGAGCAGGAGTGATGATATGATGACATTTGACATAATCATGTCATCACTCACGGCAGATGTGATGATATGATGACATTTGACATAATCATGTCATCACTCACGGCAGATGTGATGATATGATGACATTTGACATAATCATGTCATCACTCACGGCAGATGTGATGATATGATGACATTTGTCATAATCATGTCATCACTCAGGGCAGATGTGATGATATTACGATGCTGACGTCATGCCTCCCACGCACGGAAGTTCGTAAAGCGATTCCCGCGCTTGTGAGTAATGAGCTGACAAAACCGCGCCATACTGCGACTGCTGACGTCAGCGGAACAACGCTGCTCGCAGGAGCCTGAATGATCGAGGGGAAATTAACTGCTTGCTGACGTCAGCAGTTGCAGGCCTTAACTGCTTGCTGACGTCAGCAGTCGCAGACCTTAACTGCTTGCTGACGTCAGCATTAGCAGGCCTTAACTGCTTGCTGACGTCAGCAGTCGCAGACCTTAACTGCTTGCTGACGTCAGCATTAGCAGGCCTTAACTGCTTGCTGACGCCAGCAGCCGCAGACCTTAACTTTTTGTTGACGTCAGCAGCCGCAGACCTTAACTGCTTGCTGACGTCAGCATTCGCAGGCCTTAACTGCTTGCTGACGTCAGCATTCGCAGGCCTTAACTGCTTGCTGACGTCAGGAGTTGCAGGCCTTGACTGTTTGCTGATGTCAGCAGCCGTAGACCTTAATACTTGCCGTCAGCAACCGTAGACCTATACTGCTTGCTGACGTCAGTAGTGGGCAGTAGCTGTTGATCTGTTCTTGATCGTGCGCATAAAAAAAAAATTTTAAGCATGCATGTTCGGTTCGTCCATTTCGCGAATATATTAGCATCGTCTAAACGCCTCATATGCATCACTCCTGTCTTGACCAATTGAACGACTTCACTCGTATATTTTGAAGGAAGTTTGATGGTGTGGCAATGAACTGTGGATGGCGGCATCTGACGTCCAAAACAGAGTAATTCATTTCTTGAACTGGCAGGCAAAATATCAGGCTCTAATCTAACGAGTATCTTAAAAACCAATTAATTATACAATTACCACTGACACAAAGTTAGCAATTATTTTATTTTGAATGATAGAAAAATATACCAACAAATTCTTTTCGACCGCCCTCTACCAGAGCCACTTATCGATTTTAAAATACAGTCCTAACACGATTTGTCAGACACTGTACATTGAACCCTTGATATACAGCCGAACATTTGACTTTCATCTTTTACTTGATCTATTCAATCCATTTACCTAACTTTATTAATTAATCATTATTAATCCACAGGGCGGCGCGCGCCCCGATGTTCCTCCGCAAGCCGCGCGCCATCGACGCGGAGGAGGGCGACATGGTCATTATCGAGTGCGAGGTGGCGGGCGAGCCCAAGCCTACTGTCACCTGGCTCAGGGACTGGCTTAAGGTGAGGGGGAGGGCTTAAGGTGAGGGATGAGGGCTCAGGGACTGGCTTAAGGTGAGGAGGGAGGGCTCAGGGACTGGATTAAGGTGAGGGGAAGGGCTCAGGGACTGGCTTAAGGTGAGGGGGAGGGCTTAGAGACTGGCTTAAGGTGAGGGGGAGGGCTTAGAGACTGGCTTAAGGTGAGGGGGAGGGCTCAGGGACTGGCTTAAGGTGAGGGGGAGGGCTTAGAGACTGGCTTAAGGTGCGGGGGGAGGGCTTAGAGACTGGCTTAAGGTGAGGAGGGAGGGCTTAGAGACTGGCTTAAGGTGAGGGGGGAGGGCTTAGAGACTGGCTTAAGGTGAGGGGGAGGGCTTAGAGACTGGCTTAAGGTGAGGGGGAGGGCTCAGGGACTGGCTTAAGGTGAGGGGGAGGGCTTAGAGACTGGCTTAAGGTGCGGGGGGAGGGCTTAGAGACTGGCTTAAGGTGAGGAGGGAGGGGCTTGAGGTGGGGAGCGGTTAGACTGAGGGACTGGCTTGTGGTGGGCAGAGGTCAGGCTGAGGGACTGGCTTAAGGTGAGGGGGTAGGCTTAGAGACTGGCTTGAGGTGGGGAGCGGTTAGACTGAGGGACTGGCTTGTGGTGGGCAGAGGTCAGGCTGAGGGACTGGCTTAAGGTGAGGGGGTAGGCTTAGAGGCTGGCTTGAGGTGGGGAGCGGTTAGACTGAGGGACTGGCTTGTGGTGGGGAGAGGTCAGGCTGAGAGACTGGCTTAAGCGAGAGAAGTCAAGACAGAGGGACTGGCATAAGGTGGGAAATCAGCTTAGGGACAGTCTTAAGGCTCGTGTTTGAGTACGGCAAAGCCTGAGAACGGGGTTTTACGACCACGGTGTTAAATCTGAGCTCACTCCTCACATCGGGCAATGGCTACTCTCGCGCGTGTAGTCTCATAAGGTGATACCTGAGCCAGTACCTATTTTTGGGCAACGGACGATTTTCAGTTGGCCGAGAAATGGTCAGCGGTCGGCAAGAGCTAATATAGAGCCTATATAGGCGGACAACTGGCCATCTATTATTGCTTGCCTCCTCATGTCGTTCCTCTTCTCCACAACACCCATCGTATAGTGGCAATTAAGTAACTTACTACGCATTTTTCTCCTCATATTTTCTACAACGCCTTCATCGAACTGTTACTATACGGGATTTTCACTCTATATGTGAACAGGCTGGTTTATAGTTTTGGTGTCAAATTTCTAAAATGGAAAGGATGTCCAGGAAATGTCAAGTACACCAATCAGTAGAGTGGCAGCAATCATTGGCAGCCTCAAATAAAATGATGAATTGCGATGTCCCACGCTATTCTTGAGGCTGCGTCAACCGGAATAACATAGAAATACTTTTTCCGAAATTCGACGTTTCCACTCATCAATGAAGAAGTAATTTATGGAAAAAGATTGATTTATTATTTACAAAATTCATCGACGAGTTCAGTAATTATTCTCAAGCATTATCCCGTAAATTTGCGACAGAAATATTGTTGCATATCAAATAAAAATGCCAGAGCATTAGTCTCAAAGTTATTGTGATGGGGTTCTAAATTTGAAAACGTGACTTTTGAAGAATTGCTTCAAATTTTAAACAGCTGACTTTCTAGAACGTTCGTAAACGAGTTTTATCATTAATATTAGGTCTATAAATTATGTTTCGATCATTTACGACTCCTACCACGTTTTGTCGATGACAAATCCTGCCTACTATGGTCTGCTCTTCAGCTTCTTGATTCTATAGGCTTATTCGTACGGAGTTAAGCGAACGTGCCGATCCAAGCCCGCTTGGTGGGATACTGATTCTCATGTTTGCTAAGAGATCCTCAATTGCTGCCACATGAGCTGCAATCTTAATGATGGCGGAACCTCCACGCAAGTGTTTGTAGAATATTTTCCCGAATAAATTGTTTTAAACTCGAATTTTCTACAATATTCTAACGTCATATGTCATTTTTATTGTACATCATATACGGTAGTTTACTGTGAGTGTGTCATAGGTAACAAACTGTATTATATAGCTCTGGCAATTTTTGGCCATTTGCTCTAAATTAATGTCCTTTGCTTGGATTTTCTAGCAGTTTCACTTAACACTTGATATTCTTGAATGGTTCATAATTTAGGAAATCAGCCAATGAAAATAACTAGGTAAATTAAAGTGTACCGCAGTTCCATTTTTTCTCAAGAGGAGGGATAAGGAATGAAAATCGTAAATATTTATGGGGTGTTGTTAGTTGATAAGGGGATGAGGGTTATGGTTAGTTAGGAGATGGCGTAAGGTAGTCTTCACTTCGACGGGGAGATCGTGTAGGAAAGTCGTCACTACGGCGTGGAGATGGCGTAGGGAAGTCGTCACTCCGGCGTGGAGATGGCGTAGGGAAGTCGTCACTCCGGCGTGGAGATGGCGTAGGGAAGTCGTCACTCCGGCGTGTGGAGATTGCAGTCCGTTTTCATTATTCATGTAATCCCCGACAGCCGCTTTGTTATAGAAGGTCTTCATAATGGTGGGTTATAATCAAACCCTGCATGAATGCTAGAAACAGATACTCATCTATGCAGATATGACTCGTGTAATTTTTCTTCGCGTTGTTTAACATTAGCAGATCGGATAATTCTAGACTCCAAATGGTTTATGCTATTTTCAATGAAGGTTGAGCTGCTGTAAGCTTGGTTATTGGTGACAGTTAGTAAATTAGTTTCGTACTCACTGCTCAAAGTGATAAATTTAGAGCTTTCATTTTTAAAATAATTCTATATTTTTGTAAGAGAAAATTGTTCTCAAACCGAAAATTATATGTTTAATGTGTCATGAATTCGGCGGACTCGTGCGAACACTCGATTTTATATCAGATTGTATATGCTTTGTTTAATTATTATTATCATCGATGTTATTGAGGCAAAAAATTAAATCACTCTCATTTCCTTTTTCGAAAGACCTCAAAAAAAGAAATTCCAGACTGGAGTTCCGGTGGCTGACTGAGCAATGTATACTTCTCAGTATTTTCATAAGGTTTGCAGGAACAATTTAACAGCCCTTGGTTTGAGACTCGAACGCCAGAACTGCGCGCTCTTGATAGAGAAATGAGAACTCACCGAGTGAGAAATCAGAAATGTAATATTTTCGCGTCCGTCTGGGGGTTTCGGTCCGACCTCCGAACTGAGCCGCATATGTAATATATTTGAGAACACGTTTAATGCGCGTTAGATCATCACTGCAGCACTTATTTCGTCACAACTTCAGCACGGCAGCACTTCGATTCGATATTTCACCGCATAAACACTGCAACACTTCGATTTCATTTCACCACTTCAGCCATGCTGTGGCACATCATTATGTCATCACGCGTAATGCATTGAACCACTTCATCATTTCGAAACTTTGCCACTTCATTCTTTCGTCACTGCCGTGCTCTGCCGCTTTTATCGTATTTTTGTACTGTACCATTTCAGCCTCTCACTACTTCAAGGTCCCAGAAGGATTACTAGAATTTGAAACAAGAACCAACACCAGGGGCCACGGCTATAAACTAAAAAAAACAGCGTTGGAACACATCCATGCGACAACATTTCTTCTCGCTTCGAGTCACCGACATGTGGAACAGCCTACCTGATAGCATCGTTGACGCTCCGAGTATGAACATCTTCAAAAACAGACTAGACGAAGCTATGCAGGAGCATATGTTCAGTCTTAAAATGCCTAGCAAATTACGGACCAGGCAATAAGTCCAGCAGCTATCTCAATCAATCGTCAGCTATGGAAAGATCGGGTTCCAAAGGCCGGATCCCTTGTGAATCAAGTCACGAAAAGTTCAAGAATCGGCAACAGGCCATGGGCCTATTTCTTCAGCGCCAACACTTCTATTCTATTCTATTCTATTCTACTTGTACTTCAGTACATGATCATTTCAGCAATGTCATTTTGACACATTGACGCCATACATTCGTATACTTCAACTTCTCCAACTTCTCAGTTCTTCGCAAATACAGCGTTTCAGTATGTTTTAGAGCCTACATGAAATCATAAACGTTATTGGTAATTATATGTAATAACACACTACTTGATTTCATAAAAAATCTGAAATCTAAATACCTTACTACTTCCCTTCTCTGTAGCGTAACGGCATGCAGAACCGCTACAATATGTTACCGATTAAAATTTACAATAATCTAATAATAACATACTGTAGGAAGCAATAATCTTCCACATCCTTTTGGTACTGATCGCAGTTTTATCCTTTGAATTTTTCTGACCTCCTTCCTTCGTCAAACTTCATTAAATACATTCGGATCAATTACAGACCATTTTCTGCGAAATTCCACTGGTAACCTCTGATTTATTAACCAATTTATAAGTATTTTATCACCAATCGGCGAAATTCTCACAATTTAAGTTAATAATTTGTCGCCACATGCACTGCTTCCTCATGATCTTCCACTTTTTCTTAAGCTTGTTTCTCTCACTCTGCATCGAACAGTCTTCGGTCTAATTAAGAGCAAGGGAGTCGGTGAATATGATCCTTAAGCCGATAAAGGAACTATCAAGGCTGAGCCATTTTTTTGTGCTGCGCAATGAAGATCATCAGCAGGCCATCGGCGCCTCTGGTCTCCTTATTCCTTAATAGGAGCCACGCTCATCACTTCATATATCTGCCACAGGTCGCGTGCTCGATTTTTTCCTGCTTTATAGACCGGAACTTTGAAGCGTACATTTCATGGTGTGGAGCTTTGAAGTAACTCAAACACTAGGTCTTGAGGGACTCATTGAACCCTGCTGTTGAAAAGGGTTCCTGCGATTGATACTTCAAATACATTTGAAAAAGCATGAACTTCCGGGACTCTTTAATTAGAATAAATTCTATGTATTCATACGTCTTTTATGAATGGGCCTTCCGACTATTCTGGAAAACCGGAACATTATCTCAGTCCTGAAACTACGTATGCGCAGTTTAACAACTTAGGTCATGGGGAATTCGGTTGCCGGAGTCAA